GGGGGGGTAGATAAGGATTATGGATGAGAAGAATCCTATTATTATTTGTCCAGTTTTGACTTTTCCGACTAATTGTTTTCAATATTTGACTTAGAATTAAATAAAATATATATTATATATTAAGTATATAAAAAATATTTTGAAAATGGATGATATAATAAATCTAATAAAACTAATTTTGTATCAATGTCTAATATCATTTTTATTTAATTTGAGGTCAAAATTTACCAATTCTGACAAAAAAAGTCAAAAGTTGACAAATACTCAGGGACAGAGGAAGTATATAATTAGAAGGTCGGTAATTTAGGTTTTTTAAATTAATGTGAGGAAAAAAAATCATTGGATCACTAATACTTTTGTATTAATATATTTTCGAATTTATACTGCGATAAAAAATATAAATTTGTAAAAATACATTAAACATAGATCATTTATATTTGACCTTTAAATAATATGTCAAATTTAAATCAAGATCCACATTATAGAATCGAAAAAAATTCCGTCCGAACCCGTGCATGACACGGGTAGAAATACTAGTGACACGTGGCCAGTGACATGGCACTTACACGTAGGCGTCATTATACAGCTGGAATTGCACTTCTATTTTCGCTCCGTTTCTTCTTCCCCATCTGCAGACGTTTCAATTCTTTCGTATTCCATCTTCCTCTTCAATTACGGAGTATTACTTTGTAAATCAGGCATCTGCAACTTTTGTTCCTCATGGCCTCCCCAGAGATCCATTTTCTTCGCCGGTCCACATCGGGGTAGAGACCAGACTAAGGACTCGCCGGACTATGGTCGTTTGCCCCAAGGGACCTCCTCCTTCATGCTCCGTCACTGAGAAGATCGTGGGATTTGTCTTCAGTCTTCTCCAATCTCCCGTTCAGGTTTGTGATTTTTAAACTGTTTTACCTGAACAAATAAAATTTCAGGATATTTCTGAAAACAAAATGAAGATCTTTTCAATTACTTACTAATTGCTTCGTTGCCAGGGGGGTTATCATGTGTTGTATTAGCTTATGACTCTTTGTATTCATATCTACATCTGATTGTTTTGCAGGTTCTTTCACCTTGGGGTACAAGTATAATTGTTCTTCCTCATCATTCATTAATTTTAATTTTAGCATCACTCTATTCTTTTCTAGCCGAAGGTATTACTTTTCAACCCTTTTTGTGAGGTGTCTAATAGATCTAGAGGCCATGAAAACTGTAATCCGAGACGGATAGTAGGCCATGTGACTATGGGGGTTGGCTTGGGCATTTGGTGTTGGCTTTGCGTTTTAAATACTTTTTGGAGAAAAAGGATTTTGACATTGTATTTGGGGGAGGGAATGCTCAGATTTAGTGAGTAGTGGCTAACAAGCTGCATTTTATGGTATCTAAGTAGTTATGGAACCAATGGAAGTGTTTCACATTGGCTGCAGTCCTGGGTTCATTTTTCCATGCTAAATTCACAATTGATGGGCATGGGGCTGTTGTTTTAAGGCTATAGATGGCAATGGTATTTAGTTATTTTGACATTAGTGTTACTCTTAGGGTCATAGATATTTAGATTTAAGAGTTTATACTCTTTAAGAGTTTGTTCGTTTTAGTCCTCCCCGCACCATGAACAGCGTCTGTTCTCAGTTTTTGTTAAGAGGTTTGAGAAGTTGATGCTGCCATTCCTTATTATAAGCATGTTTTTTTTTATTACTTTTCCTGGATGAATGATCAAAGTGGATTCTATATTATTATATATCAGTGCTGGTTGGTTCAATGTATAAGAAATTTAAAAATAAATCCTATATATTCCCATGTCAGTTAAAAAAACACAACCTACAATCAGGAGTATTACACAAATAAAGTGTGAATAAGCAACATAGCATTGGACAAATGTGCTTCGTGCATCATAGAACAACAAATCTTATGATTCAAATGGACACACAGAGGCAAATACTCTAAAACACACTTTGCACCATTAGGTCTTTGTGAAATCTGAATAATAACTACTGAAATAAAGGGTGACATAGATTTCCTTCTCAGGATACTAACTTAACTTGAGATTCTTAACTGCACCATTACCTCTGTGTATCATATTTGCCAACAGACACACAACACTGCTTATAAATTCTTATCCAGTATGTAAACAGGAGGGTGGAGGGTGAGTAAATTGTGCACCATAGTTATCAATGGCGCAAATGGCGTGCGCCATAGATGCGCCTTTGGCCATCTGCAGCGGAAACGCCACAAATTGGGTCGTGGCGGCCGATTGACTCGTGGCAGCGCCAAATCTGCGCCATCGCCACGCCATCGCCATTCTTGCGCTATTTTTTTTAGTTTAACCCGACCCAAACCCAAAAAATTAGGCCCAATTAAGAAATTAAACCTTTAATTAGTAGTCTCCAGCCCCTTAATCTTCCCAATCGATTCCCAATTGACGCTCAAAAACCGCCAGGCCTCGATTCCCAATCGTCTTCTTCTTCGTCTCGTCTTCTTCTTCTTCTGGTCGCGACTCCTCTTGCGACTCACCAAAGCAATTGATGGCGACAGGGGAAATATCGGGTAAGTACTTCCTTTTTCTTTTTTTAACCCATCAGTATACTTTTTTTTTCTTTTTTTGAAAGCTTTTCTTCCTTTATCTATTTTAAGTAATGCAAAGTACTGTATATTATAGTTGATTATACTGCCAATATTTTCAAAGGTGATTCACTTTAATATATTTTTTTCACATTTAATTTTTGAATTATTTTTAAGTTTTGATTAAGTTGTGTTGTTTTACTATTGGCACCATGGACCCTTAGAGTGTTTTGGATTTGGAGTGACTTCTCATTTGTGTTTTACTACTTCACTTTTTAGATCAAGTAATCTATTGTTTTTTATAGAATTTATTCCTTATACATGTGCAAATATTAGTAAATTAATATTCTGTGACTAGTGTCTTGTGGCAACGCCATATATGCGCCATCGCCATGCGATATTGGCCCATCGCCATGAATGTCGCCATGCGACATGACAACTATGTTGTGCACGTTTGGTGAATACATGAAGTACTTAGAAATCAAATTTGTTCCGGGTATACCCAAAAACATTTCACAACCAGACTTATATTAGAAATTTTCTTCTGTATCATGAAGCAACAACTGATATTTGGATTTACTGAAAATTTGATTAATCCGTTTATTTGGGTCGTCCGCCTTTTGGTTCAGTTTTTTACTCAGTAAATTTCAATTTATGTGGCTGATCTCGCCTAATATACTCTCAATTATCCTAGATGGGTGATCTCATGTCATAACACGTAAAGATAATACTCCGTAATTAGTTGTGGGAAACAGATCATTATCGCGTGTATAGTTGTGTAAAGTATGAAGTCACCCATGTGGGGTTATTCTTTTGAGGGTTGTTATGGGAGTACTTTTTCTTGAGAACAGTTAAATCTTGAAAACTAAGATGAACAGAGATAAAAAAAAAGACTACAATTTTGAGGATGAAGAATAAAAGTTTGAAGAAAGTTTTGCAATTCAGGTCGAGGGATTCAAAATGCAACTGGACTTGCTTTTCCAAAAAAGATAATGATGAAAGCTAGGTATTAAAGGGAGAGTTTGAATTAAAAAGTTGAGAAGATTTGTAAATAATTATTGTTAGACGGATAATTTCTTAGCAATGTAATAAACTGGGGGTGGGGATTTATAATGGATATTATGGATATTGGGTTTGATATATTATAAATTTTAGCTGAATGCCCCAACTTTTGTTACATGGTAGATAACCCATGGGAGAAGTGTAACTGGCCGACCCACACAAGTAAATTCAAGGACCTAAGGTCCGTCTGATGATCTTTTCCCCCAATCGATTACGTTTCTCACTCCCCCAAAGACTGCATTTTAATGAGGTTTCGGAACAGAATCATTTGTTTGTCATAAAACCTGTGAATAAGGGTATATGCAATTTTGGTTGCTCGGTTTATTGATCAAGCAGATATAGCTCTTGGCATCAAGCAAATGACTTACCTTCAGTTGAAATTTGAGAATATCTGGAGTTGAAGTGAATTTCCTTCCCTTAGATGTTCCTCCTCAACTTTGGTTTGTACCAGAGAGTACTTAACACTATGTTCTTTCCAACTAAAACATATCAAATTCAATTGAAGCGATTTGAAAGTTAGTTGTAATTGGTAAATAGCAGCATTAAACTGAAGTTTCTGAAGTGAAAGTAAGTCGAAAAGAAAAGACTTTATGGGAAACAAATGACATAGTTGTGGTTTTAAATCAATATTTTTTAGTTCTGATCCTTCCACTGATAATTAATAAACACTGTCAGCAAATCATCCATCGGATGTCATATGCCTGTTTAAGATATATGATTGTGAACTCCTTCAGTTTTTGTTCAAGGGTACAAACAACATTTATTGCTATGAGTTAATTATGTTTTCATTAATATGACATGCCCTGCGATATAGGATTCACAAAAGGTTTATATAGTGTTGGTGTACTGTCCAGGGGGTGATCTTTCTATCTACACCGAACAACGCAATGGGAGAATTCCAGAACCAACTGCAGAACATTTTATGCAGCACCTAGGTAATTTTAAAATTTTTTAAGTTAATTTTCTTTGGATATTTTCATGATTTTGGACATGATAATCTGATTTTCACATCCATGACACAGCATCGGGCCTTAGAGTTCTTTGTGAAAACAACTTAATACACCAGGACATTAAACCACAGGTTTGCTTTTACAACTAACACGGATTAATGAATTTAGCTGCCTCTCTTCTTTTACAGCATAGGTTTGTTGTATTTTCCCTTTAAAGAATGTGATAAAAGCTTTTTATTGGATTAAGGAACTACACAGCTTCTGTATTGCTCACATTCTCATCATTGTAGCCTATCCCTACACACCTTCTGTATTTTCACTTTAGTATGCCATTGTATTCTTTGTTTTTTTAAGTGAGCATGTGGTAGTAGCCTCTTTTCTTAAATTTTAATTTGTTTTAAATGCCTATTCGTAGAATTGAGGTTATGTGTGCTAGAATGAACTAAAATCAGCTTTATTCACTTCTTGAATGCTGAATTTGTGTTCCAAATGTTGTTTTCATGACATTTCAGGCCTATTTTTCAAACAGAATTCATTTTGACACTATTTTAAGCATATATTCTTGCTGATTTGAGTATCCAATTGGTCATATATGTTGCACATGTGCTGATTTATTCATTTTTTTTATAAGTACAACATGTATGGTTTCATTATGCAAAGAGTTGTGTGCTGATGTGGATGCACTTCAAGGTAAATATGCAAGAAAAAACTGATTTGTACTTGCTGATTTTTCAAAAATTCTGCACTATTTTGGTTGAGTATACCTGCTGTTTTTGGGAGAACACAGCAATTCTGGGAGAACACCAAAAAACATTCTGAATGTGAAGTGTCAGACCCAAACCAATTCTGGGAGAACACCAAAAACATTCTTCAAGATGATATATTGCACAAAAGAAGAAAAATGTACCGCCATCCAGAAATCCACCTCACACCAACACAAATACAAACCTACTGCCGACTGGAGGTTGATAAAATTCTGATGCGCTTTGGTAAAACACTATCCGACTTCCCCTCCCTGCCGCAACCTAGCATCAGTGGGATCAGTTCATTGGATAATCGAATGATCAGAGAGGAACTAAGCTACAACATAGCTGAGTTGCAGGCTATCCACACACAAAATAAAACTCTTCTCAATGTTGAACAATTGAAAGCCTACAATGCCGTCATCACTGCTGTTGAAACAGGACAGGGAGGAGTCTTCTTTGTATATGGTCATGGTGGAACAGGGAAAACATTCCTGTACTCCACTATAGCTGCTAAAATTCGAAGTGAACAAAAAATTGTTCTAACTGTCGCATCGTCAGGCATGTAACATTCATACAAATCAACACACTCCCACAATCACGCCATATGATATTAATATTATTCTCAAAATGATAGATCCTATCTCTAACAGTGCAAAGCTGTTTCCTTATGAATATGCTTTAACTTCCAATTTCTTTCCTTTCTTATTACTGAATGAACTTCAAGTCTTAACCTCTTATGTTGTATCATATCACACACACACACACACACACACACACACACATATAGGGTTGGATGTACACACTGCCTTTTGATTTAGGTAGAGAGTACAAGGGTAGGCTTAGATTCTCCACTGTCTAAGGATTTTCTTATACTTGCAAACAGTTGATGGTGACACTATCTTAAGGGTTTACTTATAGTAGCGTCAGAGGTATGCTAAGCTTTAGGCCTTCTTTAATCATTTTGAGCTATTCTTTGGGGCTTTGCCCACCTCCTTCTTTTTGTACCTTATCCCTTCCAATTCAATAAGATACGGTTTCCCCGGCCCTTATCACACCTTCGAGTGAAGTTTTCAAGCTAATATACGTGCGGAGTATGACATGGAGTATGACATGGCCCTTACAGAAACTAAAACACTTTTTCTAATAGTTTGAATAAACATAATAACCAAAACTACCATAACTCAAAATATTTCAATCATGAAATAATAAGACAACCAACAAACAAAAAACATATTAAACCATACCAAAAACATATGATTCCAAAAAAAAATTAACACAACCCATATAACCTACCCCCACCACTCACAACAACACTTAACCCAATCATTCTTTTATGCAGGAATTGCAGCCCTTCTGTTGCCAGACACAGCAGATTTGATATCCCTATAGAATTATTTGAGGGAAGCACATGTGGGGTTCGACAACAAACTCAATTGGCAGGCCTATTGAAAACCTGCTCATTAATAATATGGGATGAAGCTCCAATGGCAAACAAACTAGCATTTGAAGCAGTAGACCGCACACTAAAGGATATTGTATCCTCTGACAATAAAGCAGCAGGCCAACTACCATTCGGAGGTAAAACAATGCTAATGGGGGGCGACTTTCGCCAAATATTGCCGGTAATCACAAAGGGAAGGCGTCCAGATATTGTACTCGCAACATTGAACCGCTCATACATTTGGGAAAGCTGCGTTGTCTACACACTCAAAACCAGTATGAGAATACAAGACAATGCCACTGATGGGACAACAATCAGCAAAAACAAGGCCTTTAACACGTGGTTACTGCAAATGGGTAATGGCACACTACCAGCACAGGCCAGAGAAGACGAGAATGACCCAACGTGGATAGAGATACCTGAAGAACATCATGTGATGTTAACATCAGACCACATCTCGGACATAATCAGCCACACATACCCAGACTTCAAGTAAAAGTGGAATACAGAATGCTACCTAAAAGAAAGAGCAATCTTGACCCCGTTAAATGACACTGCAGAGGAACTCAACCAGCAAATATTCAAACAAGTACCTGGAGATGAAAAGTCATACAAGAGCTGCGATGAAATATGCAAAGCATCCCAGGATACAAACGATGTGGAAGTAGGCTACCCAACCGAATTTCTCAACACCCTCACATTCCCTGGAATGCCCCCTCACATACTAACTCTCAAGGAAGGAATACCTGTGTTAATGCTTCGAAACATCAACCCAGGACTTGGATTGTTCAATGGGACGAGATTGGTTATCACTCACTTGGGCCAACATATTACACGTGCAAGAATAATAACTGGAAAGAACATAGGCAGTGTAGTGGACATACCAAGAATAATAATAACCTCCAACAATGCAAAATACTCATTTGTCCTTAAGAGAAGACAATATCCCCTGCGCATATGCTACGCCATGACGATAAACAAAAGTCAAGGTCAATCCTTGAATCATGTCGGGATCTACCTCCCCAATCCTGTGTTCACCCATGGCCAACTCTACGTAGCAGCATCAAGAGTTACCAAACCAGAAGGACTTCACTTTATGATAAAAGAAAAAGACCCCCTTTACACACACCACACTCGCAATATATTTTACAAAGAGGTCTTCAACAACATTACCCATGTAAGTTTTTACACTTTACTTTTAAAAAAAACAATGCACAATAAACAAAAAAAATTTGACTAATAACTTCCTTCTCCTACAGGAACAAGAAAATACAAGTCCAACACAGCAAAACGCCATCATCACTGAATGAAGCAAACATGTATGCAAATCAACTCATGAGGTACATGACTAACTTCCCCTTTCATAGCCACAACTAATACATGACATTAAACTTAAACCCGCCTATTTTATTTTTTACAATTTAATAATACATAGGTAAATAGATGGACAGATCTAATGCCGTTGTTTATTTCATTTTATTATATTCCATACAATATAATACATAGGTACATACATCGATACATCTCTCCACCGTGCTGCTCTTTGACTGCATGACTTTATTCTATTACTTTGGAATTTATCAGCTACTCTATATTATCTCACTATATTATGATATTTGTTTTACTATACAGTTTCCTAACAAGAGAGGGGATTTTTACGGCTTCATGAATCAAATGACATGCTAAGTTAATCTCATCTCTTATGGTCTCTTTTTAATTTAATTAATTGTCTCTATTTCCACATGCTATTTGTTATACTTAAAAAACCAATCACAAAGCAAGAACAACTTTGCTGTTAGACGGTGTATATATCTATGATAATCCTTTTCAGGCCCACATGTGTAATGAGAATAACATCTCAAAATACTTTACACACCCATTTTCACAAACTTATGATTTTGTTTTTTTATTAATGTAGGTTTAATATGTCTCTGCTCTATTACAAAAGCACGTGCTCGAACACTATTCAAGTATCGACAACTATGCTAATGGAGATGAAACTCACCGCATATGCAGATTTATTAATCCAATACATCCTTGCTACCCACTCATAACCAAAAAAATAAGGATGGCACCTAGCTTGGTTTGTGTTAACATTGCTTTCTTTAATGCCGAATTGGGCAGGGCAAGAATTACTAATAATACATCAAGTTTATTCACTTCAAAAACGGATTTAGTTCTACTTTGTTCTTTAGCTTATGTTCTTTTTTAATACAACCAAGCCTGTAACGACAGTTTGTCATAGTACAATGTTTGACTTATCCATCACAAAAAACGTTTGTTCGTATTCGCCTCAACCCGGACTTGGTCTAACCTCTTAAGAGTAACAATTCTATTTTTAGACGTCCTTTAATTTACTCCTATTATATTTTTAAACATTTTAATGGCATTTTTAGGAACTTTACTATTCTCTATTTTTAAAAAACCACAAACAAAAAGGTGATAATTGAAACCCACCGAGCATACAAAGCATAGTAGGTTTTGAATATTAATACAAATCAAGATTGTGTGTAAATCATTTATAATTCCTCATTATTGAATTATGATTCCAAATAAAATTCCAACCCATAAAAAATTCAATCCACAATACACGCAATAACTAATCTGCAAACAACAAACACGTGGATAAATACCCAGCCCGTGCGAAGCACGGAGTAGACAACTAGTTGAAAATTATGTGGGAGTAACGTTTTCTGTATAATTTTGATTTAACATCATATATCATCAAATCATTCATTTATATCATTGATTTCATATTATTATAATACAATTTCCTTACGAGTTTATTTGTCTATTTTTGACTTTTTGTAGTCAAAATTAAAAATTTTGACCATAAAGTAAATAAAATTAATATTAAATATTGACATAAAATAATTTTATTAGATTTATCTTGTAAAATATTGTCAAAATATTATTTTATTTAATTAATATACCATATAAATATTATTTAATTATAGATAAAATATTGTTTCTAGCTGTCTGCATAAAGTCAAAACTAGACAAATATTCATTAATGAACGAGTATTTGTTTTAGTGCATAAAATCGTTATTACTCCGGGTATAAAAGTATTTGAGGTGTGCTAGGGGTACATCGCAAAGACAATGATTATCTATGTATGTTTATGATATACTGGTGTGTAAGTTAGGATACAAAAACTGGTGTATGACGTCGTGTATCCCCAGCTTTTTCCAATATATTTATATCCGTGGGAAGAATGTTTTAAATTACTACCCCTCCGTCCTAAAAAAAGACTTCTTATTTTTTTGGAACGTTTCAAAAAAACTTCCTCTTTCCTTTTATGGAAAATTTTGAGTGACTCGCAATTTCTACCTCTCATATACTTATGTTTCAACCATACGTTTTCACTTTTTTTAAAACTTCGTGCTAAGTCAAATTAAGAGCTTTTTTTGGAAAATTGCACTTTATTGCTTTTTAAAAAAATTAATATGGACTATTCCCTACTGTCTAATCACGAGAGTGTGTATGGTACAACAGGCTGTACCTAGAATTGAGTAAATCCGGGTAGTACTCATTTGAAGTAAAGTAGTAGGACTCATTCTCAGATATATGTAAACGTTAATTTTAAATACGTAGTACTCATTCTAAAATAAAATAGTACTCATCCTAAAATAATGTAGTACTCATTTTCATACATTTGTTTAATACTCATTTACGAATAAGATAGTATTCATTCTAAAACAAAGCGATACTCATTCTCTAATAAGATAGTATTGCTTACTCTTTATTTTTATCAAATTTTACAGAAAAATATAATCCTCATCCTCAATCACCGCACCACACCACGGTGGCCTGATCTCGCTAGGGTTCTGCAAACATCCTTCCCACGCATCACCTTCATCCCACATCCTCCACGCAGCCGCTACCACATCCATTGCCGATCGCGGCCTCCTCCACGCAGCTCCCCCCACATTCGAACTTCTATTGCCGCTGCATCCTTGCACTAGGGCTGCCCCTCGTTTGTTGGTGCGCCTCCCCTTCCGTCGATCTAATTGCCGGCTGTACTTAAAAAACAGTATAGCCGGATGTACCTTATAATTTGCGGTCTAATCACTATTTCCTGCATAAAAATAAACAAAAGAAACTCAGACCCCTCTTCTCTTTCTCTTGTCTCTTCCCTCTCTCCAGGCCCAGAGCCTGTTCTACATGATCGATCGCACAGGGCCCAATTCTATTTAGGGCCCAATCTTTTCAGAATAGGTATAGATATTATGGAGTTTATACAATTCTTGCGCAATTGCCCCTCGCCTAGTTGCCTTCTTCATAATAATGGATACCGATTCTCTAGTTCTTGGTGAGTGAAAAAATTGAAGAGCCTGAGGCCCCGTTTGGTACAAGGAATTCAAATTTATGGAATTGGAATTAAAGACTTCAATTTCAATTCTGGTGTTTGGTTGCACAAATATTATGTGGATTTGGAATTGATAGTACGAAAAATGAATTGAAATTGGTGAATTCAATTCTATGGAATTGAATCACATGGAATCCCAATTTCAATTCAATTCCAATTCCACCAATTCCGTATACCAAACTTAAGTGACTTTCTAACATGAAGTGCTAGGATTTGTAATTACCTATTCGTCAAAATTGTAGACGTACATCTAGGTTTCTACCACCCATGTATGGAGGCCCTTATTTTTTAATTGTAGATATCATTTTTTCTTTCTCTCACTATCATTATAAAATTTTAATTTTATCAATTAAGATATATTAAAAGAACATTGGTTTAATTCTTGTTAATTTTTATAGTCAACAACATACTTTCTTCGTTCGTAAAAGATTGTCACAGTTTGATTTTTTTTAATCAAATTGCGGCATCCATTGACCACAAACTACTTTTAGTTTATAATACGGAGTAATTAATTATTAAAATAATTTGATATTTCAAAACTTTATTTTAAAATAAACTCAATTTTACTAAATTTACATTATTACTAAATATACTTTTTCCATAATTTACGATCAAAGTGTTCTAGAGTTTAACCAAAAAAGTCAAGCTATGTTAATCTTTTAGGGATAAAAAGAGTGTTTTTTTCACATTGAATTGGTAATGTACTCCCTCCGTCTCAAAAGAGTTCGAATGTTATTGTTTACAAGGTTTGACTGAAATTATTTTTAATTTAATTTATTAAATATTGGTAAAAAAATTAAAAAATGAATCTATATATTTAAAAACTGCAAGTGACAAGATTATATTATTTTTTCAAATGAATCACAAAAAAGGATTAAGAACGTGATTAAAGTTTAATCTTGGGAATAATAAACATGTAACTTAAATTGTGACTAGAAAATAACAAATATAATGGAGCCCCAATATTTCTTTTGCAACTTAAATTGGGACTAGAAAAAACAAGAATTAAGCTAGGGGTACACCAACATGGGGTACCCAAGTGTACACCAAAGCCAACACAGACACACACAGACGCGGGGAACTTGGGTATTTGTCAGATGATTTTCATTGCAGTTGATATACCACTCGTGGGTCTGCCCAAGATAATCAAGGGAAATTTGGACATTCAGAATTGGGAAGATGCTATTAGAGCGATATTATATTCACCACCCGCTCAACAAAAATATGTGGCAATTAAATCCACTTTTCCAGTGGATCATAAATCCCATATTGTTGATATCTTGCATGGTTACGATCATTCTGAACTTCTTCATGTCATCACGATCCCGGAGTTCTTCTCAGAGGGCACAGCCCTAGACGTTTTAACTAATCTTCCAAAAATTGTGATGGGTGGGTTTTTCAACAGTGATCAAATTACTAAAGAGCTTTTTAGAGATTTGTATGTGAGATTGGTGCACAATGATCATGAAAGAATCGAATACATTACTTCAAAATCTTCGGTGGAGATTGGGAAATGTTTATCAAACGCATCTATTGCCGCTCAGTTGACTATCATGAATATCGGCTCATCTATATGTGACAGAGTTGGGGCAAATTTTAGGGATGTTAAGAGCACTATTGAAAGTCACCCAAGAATGAATAATCCATTCTTTCACGATTCTAGATCGGGTTATGGAGGATTGGGATTAATCAAAGATGTGGCTTATCTAGCGTATCTATGCGATTGTGTTGGTTTGGTTAATGAGAAGAAGTTTTTCATCATGATAAATGAAATGAGAATCGCAAAAATGGACGAGTTGGTGCGGAATATTGCACAGGGTCTGGAAAGACTATCTCTATATATGGGTTTTCAAACAAAGTTAATACCGATGATGTTCGAGAGTCTCCTTCCCTCTATATTTCCCGATCATTATTGAAAAAAAAGGTGTTCGATTGGTCATTTATGATCCTGTTGTGCCCACGATTAAAATCAAAGCATACTTTCCTAGAAGTGTTCAAAATAAAATAGTAGTCGCAGAGACTCGAGAAGCTGCTTGGGAAGTGGAAGTGATAGTATTCATGGTTAAGTGGCCCGAATTTGAAATAATGTTGCAACAAGAGAAGGATGCCATGTTAGCAGGTATGATAGAGCCAAAATTCATCTTCGATTGTTGTGATCTAGTTCCGGATGGGGAAGTATTTGAACGTACCACTGTTTACAGACTTGGGAAGCCTACGTAGAGTTGCAAACGCGAGGTAATATATGTAATGTTCTTATATATGATTATTGAGTACATTTTGTTTGACATTTACTTTAATGGAAATATACAATTATCCATTTAATTAGTCTATGCGCCTTTTCATGGAAAATTGTGCTCTTACATTGTTGCCTTTATTAATGTTATAGTTATGAAGTGTTTCTTTTAGGCTCTTTTAAACTTGAAACAGCCTACTCCGTAATGAAGAGAATTAAGAGGTTTCTTTGATCGTCTCTCTTTGTCAGGATTAAGATGTGGGGAAGATTTTCTAGAACTGCATCGAGGATAAAATTTGGGTTCATAACAATGTGCCACAGTGACTTAAGTTTGATGTCTTGTTTTTTTGTGGTACAAACTATGGTAAGTAATACTCTGCATTTTTTTTTATGTTTGACAACTAGCTTACTTTTTTCCATGTGCTTCCAAAAAGAAAAGTTGGAAAAACAATCTGATCTATGGCAGAAAAGGTATACTTTCCGTATCATTTCAACACTATCAATCTATCATAGAATATTTTTTGCTAGTCATGTTTAATTGTGTCGGGATTTTAAGCGCGTAACATTCCGAAAATTATTGAGAACACCAAAAATGAGAGAACAAACACAAACACCATTTCATGAACCTGTCCTATTTTTCTGGCCAGTGAATCCCAGCTGAGTTTTGTTTTCTTTTACTTTCTTGACCTCCTTTTTTTCACATGGAAATTAATTTTATTAATGATGGAGAACAGGAGAGGTTACATCTGTGGGGATAATGCCTTTGACATAAGAAGGCAAGTCATAAAAAGAATTGAAAACATTATAAGTATAACAATCATGCCAAAATGAGCCATACTGTGAGCTGCAGAATTAGCTTCTCCAAGAGCATGGGAGATTTGTGCATTTGAGAAATTGAGAATATTGAGGACCCGAGAGAGTAAATCCGCCACATGAGGTTGGTTTGAGCCCCCCTTAAGAATCTTCACCTCTTTCATACAGTCAGATTGGACGTGGAGGTCTGAGTATCACAGATCAAACCAGAGAAGGCTGAGAAGAAGTGTTGAAAGCTCACAAAAGAGGTGGAGCTGTGTGGAGATGAACGGAGATGGCTTCACTAAAGGGGCCTTCGTTGTCTCTTAGAGTGGCTCCACCAGCTGCCCTTGAGTTACCAGAGGAGGCGTCAACATTTAGTTTATACCAGCCTGTAGGAGGTAACATCCATTGGGTGAGTAGAGTTTTTCGTCGTCTAGGAATGTAAGGAGAAAATCCGGCTTGCCATTGAGAGGTTAGGGGGTGAGCATTCATTGACCCGGCAAGTGATGGACATACTTTGTATATTGATTTTCTTATATGTGCAAGCGATTGATAGATGTTTAAGTTTTCTTCAGCATAAAGGATAGCATTGTATTTGTTCCAAATGTGCCAAACTGTGCAACACTGTACCACAATTTGCAAAATGTGTTCAACTGTGGTAGGGCTAGCAGTGAGCTACCAGAGCATAAGTTAGGTTCTGATAGAATAGGTTTAAGGTTGAGGACCCTCAAATAGAGAAACGACTGCGGGCCAAATTTTTGAGATGGCTGGGCAGGGGAAAAATGATGTGACTTGCAGATTCTTCACGTTGGCTGCAATGGGGACATCTTGAAGGAAAAGCAACCACAAATATAGCTCTTTGCGCAGGGAGTGGAAGGAAGGAGTGGAATAACTTCCAGAAGAAGAATCATACCTTAGGGATCCGTGAACCGTGCCAAATAAATGAATGTTATAAGAGGGAAGAATGGTGTGGTTTACTACTGAGTAGGCAGTTTTAAGGGTGAAATCACTGTCTGAGGTAGGGAGCCAAAGAAGTTAGTCATTTTGCGGAGAGGTATTAATAGAGCAGAGGAAGTGTATGGAGCAGATTCTCTTCCAACCAGGGGAGTCATAGATCCTTGGGTGAAAATCACTACCCCTGCTGCCATATCTGTCCTTCATGTAGTCCCTCCAAAGGGATGGGGTGTTATGATCATTCCACCAAAGTTTACAAGCAAAAGCGTCTTCGATGTCTTAAATAGATCTAAGGTTAAGTCCCCCTTCATCCTCGGTGCAACATAAATCTCTCCACTTAGCCCAATGATGTCTAGTGTCTACTGGAGTGTCCCCCCAAAAAGATCTTGTTATTTTCTCTTCAAGATTATGGATATCCTCTTTGGGAGTGGTGCAGATGCTATAACATGGACTCACGGAGGGAAAGCGATTCCTTCAAATGTTTGATTAGGACCAACCTGCCCGCTTGGGAGAGTGTATTTTTGATCCACCCATTGAGTTTGGATTCAAAAGTGTTCGAGCAGAGTTTCACAATAAGCTGCTCAGTTAATACCCTTATATGCTTTAGGAGGATAGAGTTTAACCTTGATGCCATAATTCTGGTAGTGACTTCACTAGTGAAAGTTGAGAGGAAAATGGGGTTGAAGTCAATGAAAGAAGGCACTGAGCATTTAGGAGTGAGTACTATAGAAGAGCTTCCCATAGCCACTGGAACAGAGAAACCTAGGAAGAATTCTTGAGCAGCTTTAAGAACATCCTCTTCAACAAAGTCCCAACAGAATCTAAAGTGTCTAATGTAGCCATCAGGCTCTGCCCCATTATTGGGGTCAAGATGCCAGACTGCCTTTTTAAATTCAGCCATATTTGGGATAGCTCCCAAGATGTTATTATCTGTTTATGTGATGATCTGGGTGGTACATTGCAGAATTTTATTCATGTGGGTGGTGGAGCCTTTTGAAAAAACTTCTTTAAAGTTTAAAGTAGGACACTGCTTCTACTCGGATGCTCATTGGGTCCTCACTTAAGTCTCCATTATTAGCAAAAATAGAAGAGATAATTTGTCTTTTCCTCTGAGCTTAAACTGTTTTATGAAAGAATGAAGAGTTTACATCCCTTTCCTTGTACCATTTCAGATGTGCCTTTTGTTTCCAGAATGATTCCTTTTGTTTGGATGTGATTGTCTAGATTCTGGTGAAGGATTAGAATCATAATCTTTTTCTGCCAGAGACCTTTTCTTCTGTAAACTTTACCCTTACAAAGATATTTCCCGAATTTTCTCAAGTCCAAGTTTGAAGGTCCTTTTTAAACAACTTCAGTTAATCCATCAGTCTCTCATGCCTCCATATGTTGGATAGGATTCCCAAATGGCTTTGGAAAATGTTTGGAAATCAGGGTGCAATGTCCAAGCATTCAAAAATCTAAAGGGGAAGGGCCCATTGGATATCTGGTTCTGACAAGAGAGAAGCAAAGGGGAATGATAAGAGGATATTCTATTGAGGTGCTGCACAAGGATGCTATCAAATAAAGAGAAAAAAACATTGTTTCAGAGGAATCTGTTCAATACTTCAATCTTTTCTAGACTTAGATCCTTGGAATGAAAAGTCCAGCAGAGAGATGTGGTCCAAGCAGCCAGAAAACCCTACGTAATGCCTGAAGGGGGCAGGCTTCTCCTTGATGGTCGGAAAGAGAAAGGATTGGATCGAAGTTACCCCCCACATGCCAAGGTCCAATGCCTAAGTCATTATGAGAATTGAGAGCCATTTAGAGTTCCTGTCTATTCTCTCTAGTGTGCTTTCCATAGATCACAGATAACCAAAAAGTTGGGATCAATGATTTGTAATGATACCCAGTGTGTAACCTAACCTGACTCTCTTTTCTGTAATAAAGTGAAATGGTCATATTTCTGAAAAAAAACCCAAGCCTTATTATTACCAGGGGGCAACAACAACAACAATCAAGTTGGATCCCACGTGAGTAGGTCTGATTATTATAAGTGGGCGTGGCATCTAACTATCCAAATTTGAATTTGTAAAAAGCAATCTTGTTTTGAAGCCTAGGTTCCAAAACAGCAATCAATGATAGAGAAAATTCGTTGATCAGTTTGTGCCACCTGTTGAATGATAAAGGCAGCCCAAAAACATTCCAGGAGAAGATTTTCATTTAAGAGGGAAAGGTGGATAGAGAGAGTAGCCTTCTTTGCATTACCTCTAGTTGGCTGAATCTGTTTCTTAGACTTTCTTAGTCATCTAAGAGTTATTCAGGGGATTCCAGGAGTTTGGCAATGAGCTCTTCATCACTAGCCAAATTCTCATAAATAACCAGTTGAGTGAGACTATGCCTGCCACATTGTATGTGTATTTGAGGAGATTGGGGTTTAGAAACATTCATTGTCCATCCTTGCTAGATCTCCTATCATTTTAGCAATGGCATGGAGAGCCTTATGATTATGTAAATGTACATGGAGTCCATTTGGTCACGCTCATGGAGAAACCACGAATTATCCCACGCCCACGGCAAAATCAATGCTGATAGTCAATGACTAATAGAGTTGTTGCTAGAAAATCCAATCCCTGAGAAAGTTATACGAATTGCTTCATCAGAGGACAACCTCGAACTAAGGTCCCCACCAGGGAAGCTTGAAACGAGAAACTAGGTGCGAAAGTGATAGAGGGCATATGCAAACGAATGGGAGGGCCGAGGCCCCCCTCAGTGACGGACATAGTCTTTGCAGCAACGGAACCCTAGTAGGATGGCTGCGTGTGTGTGTGTGTGTATATATATATATATATATATAGATCATGGGTTTTAGAGAGAGGGATTTCTCTGGCGAATTCCTTTATCGCCGATGGAGCCCTAGACGATCTGATGTTCTCGACAATAATCACATATTTTCCTTTTGCCGGAAAGGTTCAAGACATCAGGGCTTTACAAATGCACTTCGATCAGGTGCTGCTTCCAATCAAAGACGATCCTTTAATCGTGGGGATGAGAACAGGTCAGGCCGTAAAGCTGAAGGGAACAGGGGCTTTCGCCATATATGGAGGGACTCCTCCAAAGGGCTCGGGACTAGAAGAGGGAGCAAAAACAAGTCCAACCTTCTCCGATTACAAGCTAAGGTGTTAGTTTTCTTCCATTCCTTCTTCAATAATAATGTCTGTATATCAGAGTTTGGGAAGAAATCTGCTCACATATGGTTTAGTGTTGAAGCTATTAATTGGTTGGTAGAGATTCTACCGAGACTTTCCAGAAAGAATCCTTGGGCTTACACTAGATTTGAGAAGCTTAGACGATTATCTGTTTCATTTGGTTCAAATAGTAGGGGTAATTTTATTAGAATTTTGGAATCCAGAGAGGAAGGTAGAACCTCAATATTTGTCCCTGTTGAAATTCAAAACCCTCCCCCTTTTTGGCGAGAACTGGACAGTTTCCGTAGTAAGTTCTTTGTCACTCACGCGTCTATGGGGGACTCTGTTGCCATTCTTGAGAGCAGGACTGAAGAAGAGTCCTCTGCCCTTTGTGTAGATCCGGAAACCCTATGCATTATTCAGCCAGAAATCCCTTTAGATATCTCAAAGAGCCATGGAGGGGAAGAGAAAGCAATTGCTCGTCATTCTTTAGAGGATTCGAGAGCCCTAACAGTTATCCTAGAATGCCTTGACCCACTCGTTAATCTCGAACTCAACACTACAATGATGGAGGATTCTGTTCAATCCATCACAAGCGCTCTTTTTCAAGAGGATATTAAGGAGTTTAGCCATAATGACTATGCTTTTGACATTTGCTGCAAGGGAGATTTCCATGATGAATTCAAACTCTTGGAGCCCATTTTCAATGAGCACTTTGAATCCTTGTTCAAGGAGACAGCTTGCTATATTAGGGAGGCTTTGACCATTGAATTGGTACACAATAAGCTGCAAGAGGGCCTTCTGAAAAATGGTAGGGGTAAGGTGTTAAGATTGACAAGGCAAGTGGCTAAGGGCGTTGAAGTAATAGACTCAGTTAAGATAAAGGGTACTAAGCACCCGGTGTGCTTAATTTATGCAAATGAGGACTCATCAGTAATTCAATCAATTTGTGGAGCTTTTTTACAGGGCTATTAAGCTTGGTGCTTCATTTTGGGCTTAGCTTCATTTCTGCCTACTATTCTGCTTTTTCTTGAAAAGCATCTCTCAGGTTTTTGGAGCTACTTGATTATTTCTGATTTATTTCCATAGTATGAAAGCCCTCGAGTTTTGCTTGTTTGATACCGAGGAGCCAGTCTACTTTTGATTTAGAATAGAGTCTTTGAACATCCTTCCTTTGGAGGCTTTTGGTACAGCTGATTACGCTTGGAAGTTGGGTTAGAATACCATGCTTCAAGGATCAGTAATTGTCGCCATCTGCTCTTTTTACCCTTTATCTCTTAGTCCAGCTCACTTTTGGGAAGAGATGCCTTAATGTGACCAGCTGAGATTGATTGGACTTAGCTTTCGCCTTTCTTCTAGATGTTTTTACGTTCATGGATTCTTTTTCTTTTGTTATACACACACACACACACACACATGTAGGTATATGTATGTGTGTGTGTGTATCTTGGCCTCTTTTTATGAACTCTATGCATATAGCTATGTGTGTATGAATGATTACTCGGAATTTTGATTTTCACTGTCACGCCCCACAGAAGTCATTTTCATTTCAGCCACAACCTGCGAGGCACTGTGAAGTAACCATTTATATTACTGTAGTGAGAGCATGCACTTGTTCCTTTACAGTTTTTTTTTTAAAAACTTTGCTCTGCTCAATCAAGGATTCTCTTTGTTTTCCAATATCCATTTGATGCTAATGTTAGCTAGGTGTTGTATAATATATTTGCTTTAGGAAGTTATTTTTTTAACTGTTGTCCACTGTGCTTGTGGAATTTTACTGGGTTTGTTGTTGTTGTCAAGTGTGCCTATTGTGACAAATGTTATACATTTGTGGTCCCTTGTACTTCGTGTAATGGTTGGTATGTCATTCTTTTGCAGTGTTGCTGGTTTTGGGCTGCTGTATCTTTGAACTAGAGGGTATGGACTGGGGGGTTCACGTCTACTGTTTCGTGATTTTGTAGTGTTTACAAACGTTGAAAGAACCTTTTTTTGTGGCAACTCACACTAACTTGCACCGTTATTAAATCTCCAACCGGACCGGACGGTCTGACCGGTTGAATCGCAACCTGGACTTGTAACCGGTCCAGTCCAAATCTCCAAAAGCCCGCAAAAACCCGGATTGGACTGATTTGACCCGGAAAAAACTGGATTTTCTGGGACCTGGCGACCACTCTGGGTTTAAAATCATTGCTAATTTGTTGAGTTTATATTAATTTTTATCTTTATCTTTATATTTATATTTATATAATATTTGAGAGTTAAACTCATTGAATTGTGACAAATGAGAAGTTTACATTGCAAAATTTTAACAAATCACCCGCCACCTATTAATGAATTAGATGATGTGACAATTTGAAAGTTAAAATCATAGAATTGCGACGTGTGACATCAATGCATAAATAAAACATATGTTATATAATAAAAAATGCATTATTTTTTCCATTTTTAACTTTTCAACCTTTTAATATGCGTAGTATTACCTTTTAGCGTGTAAATAATAAACATTTTTATACATTTTATCCATTAATAGCTTTTATTACAATATCTATTTTCTATGTTTTTTCCATAAGTAAAGTGTGTACGATTTAATTTTTTTAACTTAATTTGGTTCAAATTAAACACATCTAACTATCCATAACATTCACCTATTGATGTTTTTGTTGTCTAGCAGCCATGTAAAATCAACGTAACAAAAGATGGATATGAGCAAGAGACTCAAGAGCATTAGAAAAAGATATACTTCAACGATCAAGAGTACCAAATGTAATTAGATTTTTTTGTTGATAGAACATAGTGACAAAATTAATAGATTTTTTTGTGGATTTCATGAGATTAATCTTAAAAATTAATAACTCCATTTTTTACACTCCGGTTCGTTTTTCGGGAAAAATGTTTGACAAATTAGATTTCTTAAAATATATTTGTAAAAAACTATTAAAAATATTTATATTTCAATTCGTAAAAAATCAAATAAAATCGTAAAAAATACATGGATAAAAAATAAATTTCTAAAAAATCAAATAAATTTATTTTCTGAAAATAAAAAAAAAATTGTCACATTTTATATATTTCACAAAAAATTTATCTTCCTAAAAATTAAAAAGAATCGCATCTATTTTACAGTTGAGCTTTACTTGAATGGTCAAATGAATTTATTTTCAAAAAAGAAAGAAAAGAAATATAATTACATTTTTTTCACATAAAATTTTAAAAAATTATCACATGTATTTTACACCCGAAATTCTTTGCACTTGATATGAATTTATTTTTAAAAAATAAAAACAAATAAAGGTGCATGGGATTTCACAAAGAAAAATTTCAAAAATATTTAAAAATAATCATATGTACTTTGCTCTTGACTTCATTGAAATTACAAGTCTTTTTTAGAAAGCACAAAAAAATTATATTCGCATGGGATATATATAAAAAAGAATTATTTTTAAAAAAAATCACATATTTTTCATATATGATTTTCATCGAAAATCTACATAGACCTGAAGTGGGGGGTCGGAGGCGAGATCATCCCCGTTCAAAATTCATTCACCAGTGTGAACCTGGGAGACTAAAGGAGAGACATAACATTGGGGTGTCTCGGAATGTACAATTGGGATAAAATTATAATCGCGTAGAGCTAAGTTGGAAAAAAAGTTAACTAGAAAGGTTTATTTTAAGAAATTGCTCTATGTAATTAATGCTTAATTAAGAATGATTCGGGAAAATACCTTATTAGAAAGGACCATTTTGTGATTACTTAAAGAAATTTATAAATTATAAATAGGTGACTAAAATACAAAAATTCTTTAATATTATATTTAAGACTATATTTTTTCTAAGAGAATGATACATGTCATGATTATGTACCAAACTTTTAGACAAATTGGATAATACATATACTAAGGGTTGGCTCAATTATTATCTTAAATTAAATTACCCAGAACTTTTGTTTATGATAAAACTAATTGTATTATGAAATAAATGTACTTTCATACGATTTGACTATTTTTTAAATGATCCAATATTTAAAATAAATAAATTAGAGAAAAGATTTAATATGACTTTTGTACTTTATCTTGGTCTGTTGACTCAGTATTTTAATCAAAATAAGTTTGTACTATAACTTACTATTTTTCGTAAGGTCTAACCATTTAGTCAGTATATACTTTTATTTAATTATAATTTACTTTATTTAGGCATAAAAATAAGAAAGTTAAAATGAGAGAGGACTTCCTACATTTTCATTTACGCAATCGTACATAAAACTTCATATGATTATATTTTAAGAGATAACATAGATTAAATCAAAGAATATTATGATAAAGAAAATCAAGGTGTGGAGCGGAGCGTGAGAAGATCTGTGACAATGGAGATATAAACGCAGAGATAATCAATAAAGCAAAAAAAAGTGCATAGAAAATCCAAGGTACAAGCACTAATAAGATTAAGACTTAGTTACAAGTTACAACCACATTAAAGAGAAATTCAAGTTCTCATTGTAACTATTTGTATCTATCTATTATTTAAAAAGCCATGAATTTGCATTGGCCTTTTCCCGCTCATTTTATGGTGTATAAAATATGGTAATTCTTAACTACATATGGTAATTACTAAATGGTATTTAATGTAACTGTGTAATTAAAATCGTAACCGTGTATGGTAATCTCAACTAAAAATGGTAATTTAATATAACCGTGTAATTAAAATCGTAACGAATGTTAATTTAATAAAACCGTGTAATTACCATAAAAAACTTTATTTATTATAAACGTGTATAAAAAAGGTACGAATGGAAATTTTACTTAATTTAGCTCCTATATTTTTGTATACATTTTTGTATTTAAAAACGTAAGAAATAAAACCATTTATACGAATGGTAATAATAAAAGGTAACTAAAGAAAATGAGAACATATAACAGAAAAGGTATTTAAAGATGTAATTACCATAATAAACTTTAGTTGTATTTGCTTAAAATTCCGGAGAAAGAATTATATGTTACCATTTAGAATATGTGTGCACTAAATAAAGGGTTTTAAATAAGGGAAACGATTAGTGATGAAAATTTTTATGCAATTTGTCTAACAATAACGATTAGTAATTTGTCTAACAATATTTATGGAAATATTTGTAATGGAAAGAAATTTAATTGCGAGATTTGTTACATATTTTTTTAGAATTCGTGTGCATTAAATAAAGGGTTTTTATTAAGGGAAGTGATTGGTGTCTACCTTTAAAAAAGGAAATACCTTTAAAACATTAAGAACCATAAAAATAATATTAAAAAAAAGGAAACCTTTTGATTCTTAAATAAATTTAACGTGATTTATTGAAGTCATATTGAAGTCAAAGTACAAAATATAAAACCAATAACTATCCAAAAATAATGTGAGCATTGAAGTACGTTGTAATACAATTATACAAAGGTAAATTACTCCATGAATGGAAAGACGGAAAGTAATTAAACATTAAAAGGAAAATGACTAAAATAAGAGTAAATCATTGAAAATATATCAAATTGTATGTAATTATAATTACCATTACCATAAAAAACTTTAATTTTTCGTGAAAATTTTGGATAGTATAAATACGCTACCTTACCGTGCCAGTAAATTAAACGAGTGTTCAGGAAACGAGAGTTTTAATTAATCGCTTCACCTCTGTTTTTGGCCGGAGATGGGAGTGATGATTACCGCCCTAAAAAATGTTCATGAAAAATCCGGGTTGTTGATGATGAAGCTAAGAGTAATTAGAGTTTACCACGTTGCTGCTCATCCTCGAGGACCGGAATCGTTGGATGTTGTTTTCCACGACTCAGAAGTTAGTTCTACATTGTTTTATATTTTACAAATAATAGATTTTTAAACAAAAAATATAAATTTAATTATAGATTAACGTTTTATATTTGTTGTTAGGGCGCTCGGATCCATGCTCAGATCAAAGATACTGATATAAGCACATTCAAACAAGATTTGCAAGAAAATGCGGTTTACTTAATCATGAGGGTCAAGGTTTTACAGAATATCCAAGGCACAAAAACTACTAATCACCCTTGCATGCTCCAATTTTTGGGAAAGACCAAGATTCAAAAACTAACAGACAATGGATTTCCTAATTTTCGATTCTACTTTAAGAGTTTTGAAGATGTTCTCAAAACAAAGTTTGCTGACCAAGTCTTTTTAGTTGGTAAGGGTCATTTACATTTACATAACTTAAATACTTACACATATGAAATACATTTTATGTATTATGATTATAAAATTTTTAAAATTGTATTTTTATGGATTTTCAGATATAATCGGGAAAATAGTTAGTCGAACTATGCCTGAAACCCGTATGGTTAAAAATGCCCCGGAGCAAATGATGAAAGTTACATTGGAGAACCACAAGTAAGTGACTTTTTAATAACCAAATTCATTTTAATTAAAAAAAATTTATACTTTGAAAAAATTACTAAATAATTCATTTGCATGATACGTTATTTCGTGGTTAGCTAATTACTAAAAAATTGTGACACATATTATATTTAAAAATAATTATAACTTTTTTATAGTGGCGTTCGGTTGAATTGTACGTTATGAGGAAATCACGTCAATGTTTTCATTGATGGATTGAGTGCATCGGAATCGCCCTTTCCAATTTTGGTGTTGCAAATGGGCAAACCTAAGTTCTACAATGGTATATATTCATAAATTAATCAAATTAATTTTGAAAGACATGTATCCAATGATTTAATTCTAATTGTATTTTTTTTTCCAAATCATTTAGAGCAAGTGTCTGTTACAACATTTTACTCTAATTGTTTTTTTCAAATCATTTAGGCACGCCTATTATGTTGTTTAGAAATATTGACCACAATGGGTTTGTGTAATGGTACACGGTTGATAGTAACCCGGTTGGCTAATCACTCAATACAAGAAAAAATATTATCAGGAAGCCACATGGGTGAAGAAGTTGTTATTCCAATACTATCATTAACACCGTCCGATACAAGAATTCCTTTCAAGTTTCAAAGAAGACAATTTCCTGTGGTTACTTCGTACGCAATGACGATTAACAAGAGCCAGGGACAATCTCTGAAACATGTTGGACTACTGTTACGGAAACCTGTGTTTAGTCATGGACATCTCTATGTTGCAGTTTCAAGAGTAACTAATCGTAGTGGATTGAAGATTCTGATATGCAATGAAGACAATACTCCCACAAATACTACAAATAATGTAATCTATAAAGAAGTCTTTCGAAATTTGTAAAACATTGATGTTTTGTACTTTCAAATAATATAATCTCTATATTCTATTGCATCTCAGTTTTTATCATTGAAAAATGATCTGAATTTAATAACATAAAAATGACCTGTGCAACACACGGGTGTGATACTAGTTTTGATAAAACATATTGTATATTGATCAGAATTCTTTAACCAGCTTAATGATTTGCATTTTTAAAAAAAGGGAATAAAAAATTGCTAATTTTTTTTTGTAAATTGTCCTTAAAGAAATCAACCAAAATATGAGTAAAATATTGTCTTTATTACCATAATAGGAGTGACCTATTTTTATTCCAAAATAATATTATTGCATTGTGACAATGTGACACTATATATAAGTATTTCATTGTAATTTTTGGTATTATATGTTCACACTACTGTCATTCTTCTTTTGGAGATAAAAACATGAAGGTTTTATTTTGGTTATTTTCCTACACTTTACTCATATACTCCGTATTAATCTTTCTCACTTTCCGTTCAAAATCATTGGAGCACTAATATTTCTTTTTGTATTAATATTTTTTAAAATCAATGTGTGAGAGAATGATCATTGGATTTTAATTTTTTTAAATTAATATTTTTAATCATAGGGATTTAGGAGCGCTAATTTAGGATTCTTTTTTCCGCTAATCTTAATTAATTAATGGGGGAAAAGAATCAAATTTTTAATCGTAGAATTATAAGGTTGATAATTTAGATTTTTTAATTAATGCGAGGGAAAGAATCATTGGATAACTAATGTCTTTTGTATTAATATTTTTTAAATGTATACAGGGAGAAGAATTATATATTTGTAAAAATTCAGTAACCTTGATCATTTATATTTGACATTTAAATACTATACTCCATAAAAACCAAGTCATTTTAAAAATCTACATTATAGAATCGTAAACAATTTCGTTTAACCCTGTGCATTGCACGCAAAAAATACTAGTGAATGAAAATAGAAGTGATTAAGCTTTAATTTTTCGGTTGATTTTTTGTTTATGAGCGGTTTTCGGTTTTGGTTCGATTGATTTTAAATTATCGGGCGGTTCGATTTGGTCGATTTTAAATATTTGCTTCCAAATTTCTTTTTTTTGTTTCTAGTCGAAATTTAGTTTTTTTTCCTGTTTCTAATCCAAACCGACCGTTCAATTTAGTTTTTGTCTCATTTTCTTTCTTTTTTCTTTTTAAACTATTTGTACTATGAAGAATTAAGAAGGAAAGGAAATCATTAAGGAAAAGAAAAGGAAAGAAATTCAAAATCCTAATTTTGTTGGGTCAAAAGAGAAATTGTGGAAGAAAACATAATGTTAGGGATATTCAAAATTGTGAAATTTGCACTAAATAGGACTAAAACATAATGACTTTCCTAATGTAGGACTTAAACTTTTTTATTTCCCTAAATAGGACTTAATAATGACCTAGTTGGAGGAATAATGTCCATAATGATGGAAATTTACTTGAATAATGACTACTTCATAATGACCAAAGGTCTTACATTGGGAAATAAAAACATATGGTCCTATATTGAAGAAAGTCATTATGTTTTAGTCCTATTTAGATAAATTACTCTGTTCGATTTCCTCTTCTCGTTTCAAATGATCACTTTTAACTTTTTCCCTTGTCTCCGCCAGGGCAGACCTCCAAAATTCAAACATCATGCCGTAGTATTCCCTCACCTCAGTTCTGTAACACTGTTCTTCAAAAAATTTGAAAGAGAAAAGAAAAGAAAATGAGAAGGAAAATAGTTTTTTTATTGGCTAAAGAGAAAAAAATGTGAATGCATAAATTCTAATGATACAAGTTGTGGATGCGAGTAATTGATAATGGTACACCGTTGTGGAGGAGTAGTAAGAGGGCATGAGGGGAACTGGATAGGGGGTTTCGTGAGGTCTATCTTCGCAAGTTGTCACTCCAATGCGACTCTATGGAATGTATGAAATGGATTTAAGGTTAAGACACAACAAGAGGTCCTGCAAATTATATCATTGAAGTGTGTTAGAGTTGGATAAGGAAGGAATGAGAGGTTCATATCTATCATGTTCTTAGAGAGAAAAACAGAGTCGCAGATGTACTTGCTAAAATGAGGAAGAACACATGGGTGAGTTGGAGAGAGTTCAGTGTCCCACCGAGGAGTATCTGCCAAATTGGTGCAAGAAGACGAGGTGGACTACTTACTGGTCAAGACGTGTGCTAAGGAGCCACCTCTCTCGACTCGAGGCTTGTGTTTCACCCCTCAGCTTTGATCTAAAAAAGAAAGAAAAAGAAAAGAAAAGTGAAAATCAAATAAGAAATGCATTAAGAATGAAATCGTTTTGCTTCTCTTTTCATGAGAAAAATGAGAAAACTATTTTCTTTGCTTTTCCTTTAGAATTCTATGAATCAAACATAGTGTTATAAGAGTACTAGGTGCAAGCTTCATCCTTTACAAGTGATTATAATTCAATTTACCTCCTCTCAAATGACTATCTGGGCTGATTCTGAGGGATGAGACTTATCCTTTTTTGTTACAAGAGTTAAATGCACTAGAAGTTCAAATCAAACTGGTATGTATGTTCACAATCAAATCAAATTAACTATTTACTCTTAAAAAATCAAACTAACTATTTGAATTTATATACTCATGTCCCAAATTATTTATTTTAGTTTGATTTTTGTACTAACTTTGAGCATAAATTGTGAGAAAAAATAAATTTAATTATAATCTAAATTTAATATAATTGAGTTCATCTTAAGATGTAGTTTTGATATATCAAAATTTATAACTTTTATTTATTTAAAATTATATTTGATTTGTGGTCAAAATTGACATAAAAGTCAAAGTGTGACAATTATGAATTCGAATGTAAAAATAGATTTTAAATAAGATTTGTTTTTATTTGATTGGTATTCAAAATAATAATTAACAAATTCTAACCCTATGTTTGATTCACATTTAGGGGCTGTTTGGCAACTTCTGAATAGGTAAGTGCTGAACCAGTAAGAGGTCTGAACCATTAAGTGCTGAACTAGTAAGAGGTCTGAACCATTAAGAGCTAGTATATTGCTTAACTATTCAGAGGCAAATGTCTGATCAATTCAGATAAGAGGTCTTAACCATTCAGACTCTGTATAATACTTAACCATTCAGAGGCAAATGTCTGAACCATTCAGACATCTGAACCATTAAGAGGCTGAAACAAACAGCCCCTTAGTATGTTTGTTATGCTTGATTCACATTTAGTATGTTTGTTTAGGGAGGAAAGAAAACGATAGAAAAAAATGCACTAAAAAGAAGGGAAATAAATTTTCTACCATTTGGTGAGTACAGTGTCTTGACTCGTTTTTTTTTTTGCTGCAGGTGAAGGAAATTGGAGTACATAAAAGTAGCTAAAGAAAACTCACACAACATATTGCAGGGGAATGCTCTCAAGTTTATGCCATCGTATAAAAAATAATCACAAAACAATGTATTTCAGAGGAACTACTCCATCAAGGAAACTCATTTCCCACAATTTATGTGTGTTTTTCCATAAATTAAATCGAGTGATACCTTCTTCTTTTAATCCCTTTACCTTCGGGAAGAAGCCTACGTTCTGGAAAGCAGCACTTCAGAGGTATGGCACACCGAGCACAACGCCGTTGATCACACCTCAAGTGCACCTTAATACCAGAGCCCTTTTGGCGAAGAATCTCATCTTCATTCCACTCCACAGATTTTGATAACCCACACAAACCAATCATTCTGCAGTTGGAAACACAGAAGCTATGGCGGGTGTCCAACAACTCCAATTCTTTGTGGCCGTCTAATATTATTGACAAGGCATTCACTGATAAAGCACATGAGATGAGCCTCAATTGCTTCAGTTGATGGCATTTGTCACGCACTGCTATCGCTGCATCATCATCCACAACGCCGAATAGCCGCAGACTCTTAACCCTTCTAAAGTTGCGTGGGTACAGTCTGATCAACCATACAGGACACTGTACTCGCCTCAACTTCTTCCAATGTCTAAAAGCAGCTTCAATAAACGCAAATTCCTTACCCACTGAACAGGGTATAACCAACTTCCGCAAGGAGAGTGTCCTGAGATAAAGTGCATACGCAAAATTTATATAGTAGTAGAAGGGACAGAGGGACAGATAGAATTTGACGCCTAAACTTGAAATAAAGTTGCATGCTGGATGCTACATTTTGAAAAATAATCCCCATATTTACTTACTCTGCCATCTAAAAAATAAAAAACATGAGAATTGCGGAGAAACAAGAAATGATCTCCTTTGAAGGAGTATCAGTTATCTATCATAGAGGTCAGCTTGCGCATCCTTGAGAATTATACTTCTATCTTCAAGAATCCACTCCCAAGTTATATTTTTAATAACCCCCTAATTTAGCCATGCACTCCAAAGCATCAAAGGGAAGTCCCTACAGGTGGAGTCTATGTCCAATCTCCATGATGTTATCATGTACCTGTCATTCTATAGAACCAAAATACAAGAAAGAAAAAACATTTACCTTTTAGCAATATAAGCATACTGGTGTGAGAGAAGCAAGTTGTCACCAAGAATCAACGAAGACCAAGAGTCAGCAGGCTTAATATCAAGCATGTGCTTAAAAAAACGAAAATATCTATTATGTAAATGCTGTTCGAGCTCAGGGGAATCCAAGATCTTGAGATTGATCACGCCAGGGGTTGACAATGAGTCTAATACTGCTGACAACCACGACTTGCTCACCAAACACACCACATATAGCCTATAATACCAGGGCACTCTCTTTATTATATCCAACAATACATCATAATTTAAGTCATCCCAGCTCCGTAATGTTGTGGACCTCGTTTCTGTCTTAGGTGCGAATCTAGAAATTCTGGCCGAATTCAACTGCGTCATAATCCTGACAACACTGACAAACAAAGAGCCAATCAGAGAAAGTTTGGAAATTTCTTTATTAGGTTGTTTCAAGTTTCAACAGTCTGAAATCAGCACTGCAATTATCACATCAAACCCAACCACAAAAGGGCAGATTTCTCCATGAAAACTCACATAGACTCTCTTGGTAACACTTTCTGGTTTCTACAACACATCCTGAAGTCCTGAACTAGAGATGATTGCATATTTGCTTTGGTCAAACTTCAATGCCATCAGATGCATACCATTATAACTCACACGGTATTTCTTAGAACTACCACAAAAAAGGTTCTTTCACAATTTATAAACACTACAAAATCACAAAACAGTAGACGTGAACCCTCCAGTCCATACACTCTAGTTCAAAGATAAAGCAGCCCAAAACCAGCAACACCGCAAAAGAATGACATACCAACCATCACACAAAGAACAAGGGACCACAATGTATCACATTTATAACAATAGGCACAGTGGACAACAACAACAAACCCAGTAAAACTCCACAAGCACAGTGGACAACAGTTAAAAAAATAACTTCCTAAAGCAAATATATTATACAACACCTAGCTAACATTAGCATCAAATGGATATTGGGGGCAAGATCCAAGAGGTAGCAATATCCAATCACTAAGATCCACTACAAACACTCAAAACCACTGTGTTTAATGCAATACCCATTAACAGCAATAACCAATCATTAGAAATATCTGACTGCGGAAATGCACTAATAAGAATGTTCTGTATGCAAAACTCATTAAGGGCAACACCTAGGAGTTAGCAACGTTTATTCCTTAAGATGTAGTATAGACATGTAGTTAAGATGGACTATACCATTAATTCTGAACATAATCGTGAAATTAAATTTGATAACATTATTTCATTTAGATTTTTAATTTCAGAATTATGAGTGTCAAATTGAATAATATTATCAAAAAGACAAATTTGTTCATCCTGAATTGAGAACAAATCATGTAGAAATAATAAAAACAAATAGATAATAATTAGAAAAACTAACTAGAAGAAAAAACTTACCTAAAGGGAGAGACAAAAGACAAGACGAATTCAGATTAGCTAACGAGAAGAAAAACTAATAAGACGGATCCAGATCTTCAAGAACCCGTTGCCCCTCTTCTTAAT